AGTTAATTCAATGATCATAAGGTCATGCAGTTATATTGCACTTATTACCATAGCGTTTATGCTATAAAAACCTTTGCGGTTATAATAAAGATGTTTATTAAGCTTTGGCGGAAGTATCGCAATGTGACTTCCATCGACGCAACCAATGACTCCAGGAAATCGAGTTTTCGAATAAAAAGAGTGCTTAGCTTGTAGTTTTTCTTCCTGTGTCATATCAAATTTGATCCATTTTGAACACAAAACATTTTGCAGAATACTAAGCACTTCTTTGAATACTTTCGAGACAGTTGGTTGTGCCAAACCCAACTGAAAGTCATTTCCAACTCCACGTTGGTACCCGTTTCCCGCCAGAATCCGCAAAGTGGTTGCCAACTTAACTGTTGGGCATAAGCCCGTGGAGCGTTTCCTCCTTGGAAGATTCTTTTCGAGCTCTTCAAGTACATACCTAAACGCGTCTTTCGTTAACCGAAAATTTCTAACGAATCTGCAAGATGTGAACTATTTTGTTAAAATTATCAAATAAATAAAACATTTTTCGTGTCTTACACCACATCAGAAAGTTGAAAAGGATTTGCTCTTTGGCGAAGAATTTGCCGTTCTTTAATTAATTTTATATTTTCTTCGCTTTGAATTTCTTCATCCGAGCTAAAATATAGCTCTATGGTATCCATTTCATTAAGTACAACTTCTTTTAAATTAAACGTAAATACAAATAACGAATTATAAACAAAACAGATGTTTCTGTCAGCTGTCAAAATTTGTTTCATCTATTACAATTGTAGTAGAACAGTCGATATGTTGCAGGAATGCCTTTTTAAAAACGACACGTCGCAAAAAACGACTGTCGATGCGACCGACTTACGACAACCAGAATAGGGGTGATTACCCCCGCAATACCCCACTAATATAAACCGCTTTAAAACCAGGATATTCTCTCGACTCCGTCTTGGGCACACAACCCAAACACATGTATATCTCCTAAAAAAAGAAAACCCAACACTGCGAAAACTGCAACTCACAGCAAACATTGCAACACATCCTCAACGATTGCCCCCTATACGGAGAAGCAAAACAAACATTACTCGACTCACAGAACATTTCGGCAATACTCGCCATTCCCACCAGCACAAACATTGAAAAAATTGCAAGATTCGTTAAAGCTATTGGCGCGTATTCATAGTCCAGCAACTAAGCCGAAACTAACAAAGTTGCAACTTAAATTTAAGTACCAACATAAAATTTACCTCTATTCATAGTCGCATTTCAGACTTCTACTAAGTAGTTTCGACTTAGTTTACGATATAGCAAAACGAGTGTGAAAATGTATCGATTTTTCTTTACGATATTTTGGAAAAATTACATTTTTATTAAATAATGTCAAGTTTGATCATCCGTTTATGTAATTTTTATTTTCATTGCATGATTATGCAAAAGAATAAGGTATAATTTTCTTGTTAATTGTGTGAAATAGCCAGAACAACCGCAGTGATGTGAAGTCGATGTTTATCGAAATCATGCTGTGAAACATAGAAATAGTAGATATCTAAATGTTATGCACAAATTTACTTTAAAAGAACTAGCGTGAAACTGACTTATTATTTGAGAATTTATCTAAATTATTCCAATTATAAAATTGTGATGTAGCTTTATTCGAATTGTAATACGCATTTAATTTCATCTTCCGATTAGAATGGGTCGATCTTTGTAAATTTTAATTGGAGATTGTTCAATATTATCAAATTCACCTTCTACCAACTTAATTTTTACATATTTCGTCTGTTTTCCCTTAATTTGATAAAATACTTCTTCCTAGTTACGACTTAGTTGCAGCTGCAGCCGAAACTAAATTTTATGTTGGTACTTAGCCAAAAAAGTCGAAACTAAGGCGACTATGAATAGCTTTAGTTGTGACTTAGTATAGTTTCGACTTAGTTGAGTACTAAATATGACTACGAATATGCGCCATTGATTTGACCATTTAACCACCAAAACTACGAGACACATACAACACAAATATAAACACAACCCATTCCTGCAACGTAGAGCTGATGGCCCCGGTAGCCAATGCTCATATAAACTATTAGTTCTGATATTCACATCAGCACTAAATAATAATAATAATAATAATATAATAGCAAGTATACATACATGTATGCATACATTTATTTATTTTAAAGTTTATATTTAAATTAATTTAAATATACATATACATAAATATATATACATACATTTATTTATTTTAAAGTTTATATAATTCCGGTAAACTCCTTCATTAATTATTATAATGGTCACCCTACCCTAGATCCGTTGACACTAATCGATTTCACAAACTCAAACAATACAGACAATATATAACAACATTCGAAGATAGCAGCTACTTCGGTAAAGTTACCGAACAATTTGCATGCAAAAATTTTACGTCGGATAATACCAAATATGAATACCTCATAATTTCACTTCCCCAAGAAGTGGTTATGACAGTATTTGATATTATTCAAAATCCTCCTTCGGAAAATAAGTATGAAAATTTAAAAAAGCACCTCATAGAACGACATTCACTAAGTGAACGTAAAAATTAGACCAAGTGCTATCTACTTCAGAACTTGGAGATAGAAGTCCCTCTGAGTTATACTGATCTCTTTTGGTTTTAGCAGGTTCAAATTTTGGTGTAGATTGTTAAAGAAACTTTGGCTAAGAGTATTGCCCAGAAAATTGAATATTGCTGTAAATATTCAGGATATGCTTAAGTTAGCTGATGATATGTGGGAGGTAATGAATAAGGGTGCTATTTGTAGCACTAGTTTAACGAACACAAATTCACACATTGAAAAAACAATGGAAAATTTAGTAAAAATTACTTCTTCTATGTGTGAGAGTTTTGCAAAGAGGTTTTTTGTATAAGGCAGACTATAGAAAATAGATCAGCAAGAGCTTCTAGATCATTTAGTAGGAATCGTTCGCCAACTAGGTCAAATTCTTGAAACTGGCTTTGTAGATATCATTATCGCTTTGGCATTAAAGCAAGAAAATGTGAACATCCTTGTTCATACTGGCAACATGAATCTCAGCAAAACTAACAAAGACGAGATTTGAGTAGTCCACTTGCAAAGTGCGCTATGTAAATTTTTTTCGATTTTTAGTTTTTGGTGGTTAACGTACCAGTATTTAAAGAAGTTTCATGTCCACTAACAATACAGTGCAAAATCCTTACATATTCTGAAAAAATAGCATCAAATGTTAGCTACTCTAGCAAAAGTCGCTATAATACTTACTGTATGTATATATACACTTTCAAAAGTCGCTATAATATTTATGGTACGTATTTATACAAGTTCAAAAGTCTCCACCTTCTGATGAACTTAGAAAACTGTAAGAAAACATGGTAGTTCCGGTGCCTAGTGGAAGACGTCTCAAAAAAAGAAGCAGACCAACATTCATGGAAGAGAGAACGCGAAAAGCTTAAAAAAGCTGGCTATATAAAACTTACTGTTTCAAAAGTCGCTATATTTAATTTCTATATATAAAATTTGCAAAAACTACCACACTGCGATTTTGATTTTTATTGTTATTACGCAACAAACATTGGGCTTGGTTAACAATTCGAAAATGATTCGAAAATGAATCTCTTTTTTCTAGTATCACCTTCGATAATGAATGTGGAAATAGGTTAGTATTCGATTCTTGAACTAGCCCGTTCTACAGCAAAACGGAACCTAACGAAGGTACGTTTACGTATTTTACCTTCGTTATGAATTTGAAATCCAGCTCATTCTCAAAGGGAAATATAAGACAATCACTCTCTCTCATTAGAGTTCACTTCGATAATGGGCTGGATTTCGAATTCATAATGAAGGTAAAATACATTGGATAACGAAGGTTCCGTTTTGTTGGAGAATGGCCTAGTTCTCGAATCGAATACTAACCTATTTCCACATTCATTATCAAAGGTGATACTAGAAAAAAGAGATTCGTTTTCCAATCATTTACGAATTGTTAACCAAGCCTAATAAATATTGGTCATACATATTTGTTTTTGAAAAAAGGAAAGTATATTTGATTAACGTTTAAGTATAGTTACTTTTTATTTTAGAGGTTTTTGTAATTTTTTTATAAGAAATTCGTTGTTAAATAAAGTATACTTCATTAAAAAAACAAATTAATTAAATTAAGAGATCATATTCATGATGTTATTTAAGTACATAAAAGAAAAATACTTATTCTAACTATTAACTATTTAGTTTTAATATTTTCTTGATTAATCGTCTTTTTTGTTATACGGGTTTTGGCTTGCTGGAAAAATGTAATTGAAATCTGCTCGAACTCTGCGTCGGATGAACTCGAAAACTTTACTGAAAATGCTTCTGAAAAGATAGTTTGGCGCTCTATAGACTAGTATTAGACTTTGTTTTAGAACTAAATACTTTTAATAACTGCCGTCACACTTAATGATCGGATTGGGTGCTTCTTATCTGTGCCTTTCCAGCAAAATGACTGTGCCGCTTTATCGTCAATAATGCTCCTCCAACACATTTTTACAAACTTATCCGGGTTTGATGAGGTAAGTGTTTTTAGCTGCGAAACCTGAGAAGTAAATCAGAAAGGCGTGATATTAGGTGTTGCTTTAGTAAAACATAACATGGCTTAAAGGGGTTTCTTTAAAGCAAATCAAAATAGCTTACCAAAATTTCAAATTTTTCGTCCTTTTCTAAAGTTTGTAAAAATTCCTCTGGAGAACTTAAAGGGACTTTAGGAAGGACTCGTAATGAAGGTGGTGTTGTTGTATTAATTCTGCTGTTTTCGGAGATGATCTTCAACGACTTCACTTCTTGTAGTATACGAGTTAATACTCTTTCAATGCCTTCCTGTTTGTTTTGAACTACCAAATAAAAATGAAAAGTATATTATTATTTTATTTTAACAAGTTAGTACTTCCGTTACTGTTTATTACCTTCTTCAATTTTTCCCATTATTTCTGTTTTCATTTTGTTTAGTTCTGTAGGGAAATAAAAGAGTTAGCGTGGCATTATTATAATTTGAGAATGCCTACCTGTTGTGGTGACAATACTATTATCGGCATTTTCAATAAATATGGTATTTAAATCTGCATCCATCTTCGCTGTTTACAATGCTTTATGAATTAAAGAAATGAAAACAAAGGTATGTTCGTTTAAATCGTGCAACAGCATGGCTTTTTCTATAATATCTTTAGCTTGATAATAAATATCGCCTTCGAAGTACTCAATCTTACAACAAAATTTTATATTAAATGTCTCGGATTTAATAGGTGATTCAAAAAAGTTATTTAGGCTTTTGAATTTTTTAGACTTAATCACAGTTTCAGAATTACATTCTAAAATTTCTTTTATCTCAAAAAAATCGTTTCCTACTATATATATATATATTATATATAGTATATTATCTGGGAATTTCGAAGAAAAATGAAATGTATCCGTTTTGATATATTTAATTTGTCCGCTTTTATTTTTTTTTATATTGGTTTTTTGAATTAATTCCTTTTCTTGGATTTTGCTCTGTTCCACTAAGCGATTATATAGCTGTGTCCCAACTAAGTTCTTTTTTCTATGTTTCCTTTTCAAAACTGAGAGATAGTTTTCGTATTTAAAAGCGCTGAAGCTCTCCAAGCTACCGAATATGTAAGCATCGTCTGCTATGTGGATAAGGCAATGTGAATTGTAAAACAACAGTTCATGCGAGTAGAAATTGTTAATATTTTCGACAAAATCTCTTAGTAGAACTTTGGCACAGTTATTGTTGCGCTTACATTCAATTTTATTCAATAAAATGCGTATTCCCAAGCTTAAGTATAAAAAATGCGTGTATCTGTCGAAGTCCAGTAATCCTTTCAGAACAAAAACTCCTGAGTATAGAAGGAAAGACCTGAATTCTGTCGCTTTACACCGATCGACTTCTTTCAGAGCTCTTGGTCGCCTGGCAAATTCCTTAGGAAATTGATCAGATACAAAAAGTAGCCGAGCATTCAACTTTTCAATATCATGTCTTCCAAGCAGTTGCCGATCTTTCAACCAAAATTTCAATAACGTTTTGGTTACTCCCAAACAAACAGCATGCATGTAGTCTATTGGAAAGGATTGAACTAAGTTCATTTTAAAATTTTCTAACACTATTGGCTGCAATTTGTTGTGATGGTCTGGGTTCAATCTGGATCTGAATGCATAATCTGAACGACTCTCAGAAAGATTATTTTCAGGCCAGAATATCATTCTATGGTTAATACTTTCTCCCTCTTGTACGCATTAATGGCAGCAGAAAAATCCTGTGTGTCCTTTAATTTGCAATATGAATGCTCTTGCTGGAGTATCGCAAATAAATGAACGGCACTTGACGCTGAAAATTCTCTCTTTAAACGAAAATCCGTGTTCTATTAGATGTTGCAGTTCACTAACAAATTTTTCTAGAAATTGATCTGGATCCTGGGGTTTACTCTTTCCAGAAAAAGCTACAACAGCTAACACATTTCCAGATCCCTCCACATTGACTTGTATAGGCCAAATTTGGGACGTGCTACTTTTCGCTAACGGAAGCCCGTCAATATTTGTATTCAAATGCAGCACTTCCTCTTTAAAATTACTTTTCAACAAAAAGTCTGTTAAAGCAAGCCATAATGCACATATTCTCCACCATTACTTTTTTCGACTGGGGCATCTTTTGGTGTCATTTTTAAGGTTCTTGCATCCATAGGTGGTCCACTTAATTTAGGTGTTAAGAGTTTCAGTAGGGCATTCGTGGCATCGTTCGTAATACTAAATTTTATTACCCATTTTTGCAATTCCTCTTTAAAATTTGAAATATTTAGGTCTTCGTCACTATCAGATGCGGAGCTATAGCTAAAATCAGTAAGATTGTCATAATCTTCATTCAAAGGAAAGTCTTCCGAAGCTGGAAGAGTAGTCGCGTTTGGAATATCTGAATATGTAATCCCAACATTCATTTGTTGTTGTTGAGGTTGCATTAGCATGCTTACAATTTCACTGCATTCACGTCTAATTGTTTCTGAAGCTTTCATTTTATTTAAATTATATTATTTTCTAAATTGCTAGTTACCAATTTTTATTTTCCCGAAAACAAACGCGCGACCCCCTTATTTGAAAAAATGAAACTATAGGCTGAATTTCTTTATTCATTCTGAACGTTTGGAATAAACTTTTTTGTTTACTTATTCTTTAGAACGTTCCTGATGATATGTTAACGTATATTTCAAACGTATTCTGTTTATTCCGGCTGTGAAATGGGATTATCCGGAATGTATAAAGAAACGCAGCCATAATAAACATGAAATTCCCAAAAGCATTAAAATACGCAACTTGCTGTCTTGTTACTATGGTTCTCATTTTATTTTCGAACCAATTTCGAGTGTATTTCCAACACACTATGAACGGTGGAAAACTAAGGTTGGTTATGAGTTCGTTCACAGTTCGATATTCATATTGGATATTGAAGGTATTTTTCGAACGTTCGCCACAATGTTTATTGGGTAGGCTCTTATTTATCCAAATTTTCAGATAATAAAAAGAAATGTACAATTTGGATATTACTTGTTGTTGTAGACGTTTTTTTTTAATTTATGGCTTACTATTATAAAATCACATAACGCTGTTTGCAAGTGGACTACTCATTTCAACACGTCGCAGTATGGGGATTTGGCGGAAAAAAGTCTGATTTTCAACATACCTCTATGGAATTTTTAATGATGTTTCGAAATTCTAGGAAAGTGTCTGCAATAAAATCAAAAGGAATTACTATATTCCGACCTATAGTTTTTTTCTACAGCTCTTCGAAAGTAACACTTCTGACTGAAAAATAACTCCAAATTTAAAGACGATTTTTTTTCTTTTTCTTGGACCGACTTCCAATTGATTATTTTTTCTTTAAGATTTGATATTTTGGGACGCTGAAACCGAAAGAACAAAGACTATAAAGAATTTGGTTGCATAGTTACAATTAATTTTAGAAGGGTATAAAAACAATACTCTTTTTTTGCTGAGACCTGCGATTTTTGCGTTATCAGGTGTTGGATACTACCTAGGTGTTGTTTCAGGTACAATCAGTTCCAGCTGCACATATGGCCGATTTTTTTTTTATGTGCAACTATAATATGTAAACTCCCTCTAATGTATTTTTAATGACAAGGAAGGCTTTCGATCTTTATGTTATTTATTATTATTATTTTTATTATATTATTATAATTACATATAAATGTAAAATAATTGTTGTATGTGCATATTATTCGATAGGTATTTTTTCCAAATTATGTAGAAATAAAGAGAGAATAAAAAATGTCTTCTTCATCCGCTACCTAAATATTTTCGGTTAGGTTAACGGCAGTTTAGACCGAACTGATCATCCACATTAGTTAATTTGTACATTATCACCTTGAATATGAATAATTCTTGAGGAAACAATGCTTAGGTAGTACGAGTACATGCATCAGTAGTTAATTACCAAAAAATAAATTCAATACTTCCAAGCTTCCGAGCGAATTGCCATTGCACTTTGCTATCATATTAGCCGCAACGTCAAGAGCAAGAAGCAACAGAAATTAGCATTGTTAATCAGAGGTAAATCTATATAAATATATATAAATCAAAAGCAGACACTACATATAGAGATATTTATTAACTTTTATAATGGAAAGTTTCACAATTTCATACGCAGATTTGTGCATGAAGCTTATACAATGTGGAAAAGATAGAACAAAATTTAAATTGTTGGAAGAATCTTATATCGAACTAAGTAAACGTAGAATTGACCGTAGAAACATTTTTATTGTAATTTCAAATTAAAGTGGCTGAACTCTATTCGGATGAAATCGCGGTTTGAATATAACAACGCTAGTTGGCTTAAAGGAACATTTAAAATTGAGTTTAGCAGTGATGAGTGTGAACCTTCAACCAGCTGTATATTTGGTCGTCCATGAAAACCTTTTGGCGAGTGCAGCGATCGTGCTAAGCGATATAAATGGGATGAAGTACGTGCTAAATTTTCCCAAGAGCTGATTGATTTTGCGTCTACTTCTAATAGTTTAAAAACTGATCAAAAAGTTTGCCCAAGAAAAACGGCTGGTATGTTTACAAAGCTTGAGTTGACAAAAGAAAAATATGAGTATCTTAAGCATTGGTTACAGAATGAAGTCTGTGACACGAACACCAGCAGCATCTTCGTGTTGTATTTGTGGAGCCACAACGTCACAAATAAATAATACTGAAAATGTTCATCTCAGGACTGTAAATGAAGAAGCACTGAAATTCGGTATGTCACCTGTACATGCTTGAATTAAGCTGATGGAATGTATTCTACATGGAGCTTACAATATGGATTTTCAATGAGGGACAGTGGATTCAAATACTCGTCCAATGAGAGATGCCCGAAAAGAGTTGATAAAACGTAAACTGAAATATAAAAATGGTATACATGTAGATACTATTAAGCAAGGAACGGGTACAACAAATTCTGGAAACACGTCACGAAGAATCTTTGCAAATCCAGCTTTGGTTTCTGAGATCATGGGTCTGGACGAAG